AACCTGCAGGCTTTTTAGTACAACCACACAGAATCTGTGAGCATCATTGCAAAGGTACATTTGTAGCAAAGAGTGAGAATCAGGAAACTCCACAATTGCACTGGAGAAGTTGTGGTTTAGCACTCAGAGTGGGCTGAGACTCTGAGACTGTTGCTGCTATGGAAACTGTTTCGCCACTTAGACGAGCTTATGTTCTAAAACCACAATGTGCTGCACATCCTCTTCCTTTTTATACGGGCTTCTGAAAAGGAAAAACAGAAATATGCATAGCGAAACCACACATGTGTAACTATGGACTCATTTACTGCAACTACACTGTTTGCTGTACTTGTTCTAAATTAGTTTGTTAAAGATCAGATAAAGGGGAACTTGCAGTACACAGTGAATGGCAACTAAGGATTAGAAATTAACTATATTCCTATTTCAGTGCAAATTGGACTCATTTGTACTTTCCAAATGCACCCCTGAACTGGACCAGAGTTATATGCTCAAAACTGCGCTTTTCTGGATTTTGTGATGTAGGTCTTAAGCTACAATAATGCACCTAAAACGCCTGCTTTACAGAAGAATGTCTACAAAATGCTTATATTACAGGAAAGGGTTTAATTATAGCTTAACTGGCTTAGAAAGTGTGTACGTTAATGAAAGTGCATCAGAAGCATACAAAATCAGGCTTGCATTTTATGTTGGAAGAAAGAAAAGCAGCTTGAAAACAAGTTGAACCAAACTTAAGGTTGAAAAAATCAGACGTCGTGAAATTGAAATGGAGTGGGTTGTCCATCCCTAGTTACAAGTGACTTCAACTTTCAGTTCTCTAGGTCAGAATTACTTTTATCTTGGCACATAATCATAGGTTGGGCCAGAACTTTGATATTCCTCTCAGGTAATTGAAGAAGGATGGCTTCTATCCATCGATGTCTTCTTTCTTTATTATGTCTGATGAGTTTCATTACCAACATGTAAACTTTGCAGAAATATCTAAGCTGATTTTTAAAAGCCCATCAAATGTATATTAATAAATTAGGGAAGACTTTGCTACATGTAGTATTTATGTTTAGGGTCATTCTGTTAATAACCTTAAATGGTTGTGTTTATCTTAATTAAATCCAAACGTATCCATACAACTATATACAGTAAGTTGAAGGGTGATGCTGGTTAGGCATGTTGCTCCAAGTCAGATGTCCTAGCAACTATAGCACTGCTAAGATATTCTTTTCTATGTTCAGAAGTTTCTACAGGGTATGGTCAAAAAAGGCAAGATGGTGTGATCCATTGCTGCTGTGATGGAGTGTAACACATAAAAAACAGGCGGAGCTTCAATCACGTCCACCCTCTTGACTTTTTTGACCATACGCTGCAGATACCCTGGTCCATGTTAAAATAATGGAAGGAAGAAAGAGGAAAATGGATTGTTTTGCAAATGGAGAAAGTGTAAAAAGAGGTTTTGCCCCCTAGATGACTATGAACTCATGTCACTTAATTCAAAATAGATGGGGCCAGGTCTGATCCTTTGTCTGAGTTCGGATTCAGACTGTATCTAGCTTCCGCCCAGCAGAACTTGAACTCACGCTCAATATTTAGCAAAGCTCTTGCTGGTTTCAACCTATCCCAAAGGTCACAGTGGTCCTTCTTTTACAGCTTCTGCTGATGGTGGGTGCTCATCAGAAGAGACTTTAAGAATATTCAGGCCCCTTCTAAATATCAGCTGCACTTAGGAGGTTAACTGGGGAATTGTGCAGGTTGTAAGAGCTTGCTAGCAATGTAAGTCATAAGCTAATATTTGCAAAGCAGTTGCAATATTCATAGCTTCTCCTCACTGAGGCAAACATATTCTTGTCTCCTTGTGGTACAAGAACACTGCTTGAGTTCCCTGGCCATTCTGTAAAGTGTCACCCAATGTTTTCTCTCCAGTTGCTACATTCATTTAATCGGCAACAGCTTGTGCAATACTAGCCTTTGAATCTAGCAGTTTGATTACAGTCTTCTTTTAAAGCAAAATGTAACACTTGGATTGAGACGGGCAGCTATAGAAATTGCATCAATCAATCAATCAATAAACAAGCAAACAACAAACTAGTTAATGTTCAGCTGAGTTCTTTATACCAGCTCTCTCCAGCCCTCATCTATTGCCCTTGAGATATTGTAATGGTACGTGGGAAAGACTTTGGGAGAATGGGCCAAGAAATGCTGCCTAGAGAATGATCAGATATGAAACAGCATAGCCCACAGCTAAATAGTGGAGAGGGCAAGAGGCTCAGAAGAGACCCTCCCTAGTTTCTTGGGCTGTAAGGGAGACGGGAGATCCCTACTTTCAAACCTGCAAGATTTTGTCAATGTACCTTTACAATAAAGTAGAATTAGCTCATCTGGTCGTGTTTCCTGTCTGGTCTACCTAGTAAGGCTGACAAATATGTCTGACTTCAGTTTGGACATCTAGGGCATCAAGCCTGGAATAGCTGCTGTGTTGTACAGACTCATTGGGATGTAATCAGAGAAGGATTTACTTCTCAGTAAGTTTGCATAAGATGCTTGTTTTACAATAGGTTTGATTGTTGGCAACTCAGTTCAATCATCTTCCATGATGTTGGGCTGCCTGGATAGGCTATTTTCAGTGCATTGGCATTTTGCATGTGGGCTTGCCCTCTGACACACAGGTACATTCAGTCTGGGATGCATCAGGAACCAATCCATTTTCCCCTCCTTGAAATTTATCTTATATACATTTCAAAAGTTTGAAACTCCTTCCAGTTTCAGAGGAACTGCTTCTATGAGCTGCAGAAAGGTTAGTTCTGGGCCTCCAGGGTTTATATCCATTAGCTCACCCTGTGTGAAAGATGTGTCATGTCAGGACATGTCAGTGGCAGCCATCTTCTTCTGTTTAAGAAAGGCTTAGCACTCCGTTGAAGGCAAACCACATGTAGGCTGGAAGAATTAGATGGCAGCAACTTAGACTTTTTGCTGTTGGTCACCTGGATTTTTGCAGCCCAAATCTGTTGCATCTACCTATAGGGGCAAATTCAAGGTTCAAGGGTGATGACTTTAAAAACCCCAATGGCCAAAAATTATAAAGCCCTAAGGTGATCTAATATCAGTAAAACAGGATGACAAAGTTAGCAATGTTTTCTCACCAATATCATGTTCATGTTGAAGTTCTAATCACATAAGCTTCTCTGAGCAACTGTGGAATACGTGAAATATAAACAAACAGCTAGATGTGATCACGGCCATAGGATGTTTACATCTTGCTCTTTTAAAGACCGGCTCTCCTCATCAGTTGGCGGGGTGGCTCATTGCTGCCTTGTTATAGTGAAACTGATTCCTACCATGTGGAGTTTGCTGCAGTTTTTTTATGTTATGGTGCCATCTACTGATTTCTTGTTAAATGTCTTTAAAAACCTCAAGGATGAGCAAAGGCAGCGAAAAGAATAACCTGGTGAGTGTCCTCTAGTTACTGCTTACCTTTCACAGCTGAAAACTCCAAAATAGTTTATAGGTACTAATAAACTTTCTATCCCTTCACAAATATGAATTACATATACTCTTATGTGTGTATACATGTCTGTATACTTTATCTTGTATCCAGCTGCATCTGGGTAAGCTGGGCTCATCCGCCATACTAAATCATAATTTGGTTTGCTTGGTTTGGGTTTAACGTATTGTGTGGACCCAACCACTGTGGTTTGTAGCCTGTGAGTTATGTCTTACTGTGACCTAATGAAGCAAATCAGGACATAGTACAATCCGTATACCGGTTTCTGTATGTAATGTGTGTACATCCACTGCTCATACAATGTGTGCTTGTGTGTGTACCTATACACTCACATATTTTTCCTGCCCTACATTTGAGAAACTAAAAAGGGTCGATTTGATTATCATTTTCTAACCTGAAATCTGATGTGCAAATTTCGAAAGTGTCACCAAGGAGATCATCTTACTGTGAGTTCTGGGACAAGTCATTTATAAATGCCGCATATTTTCTATGGATTCTAGAATGCTGTTTTTAGGCAGAGCACTGACTTTATTTAAACCTGTCCTTATGAGAAGAAGCTGTCATCTCATTCAATTCAAGCAATATGATCATGCCAAAGAAACTGTGGAGGCCAATCACAGGATTAACAGTGGTCTTCCTAAACTTGAGATAAGAAGTCCTAAGTAAGGGGCTTATTTTTCCCAGCAACCCACAAATGAATCCAATTCTGAACAATCTCATAGCCTTGAACCTGAACCAGCCTGGAGTCTATTTTGCTAGGCTGTTAATTAATTCTAGCATTCAGTTTAATTCACATTTTAAAATTTTATTGTATACTTTAACTTTTATTAGCCTCCATGCATAAAAAAACAGGATATAAATCAAATGTATCACTAACTAAGAGGTAGGGAGGGAACCGTCAACTAGTTCAAATGATAGTAAAATAAAAACTGTCATTTGAAAGTAGTAAAGCTTTCAAAATAGTTTTACTTGGATAAGGGGTGGGGGGCAGTCCCCTACATTTCATATTTATAAACCTATGTTAATATTTTTAAAATATATTGACAGAGCTAGTCCTGGTTCCCAGCAAAATCACGAAGGTATTATGTTGGGTTGAGGTCTGCTTATGGTTGAGTTAACTCACTGAATCATGGAGTCTCTGGCTCTCATGACGTATTAAGAACTATGTCTCTCTCCAAGAGCTTAAAATAAGGAAGGTATGCACCCGTTGTACAGAAGCTACAATGTCATCATGAATGCCATGTCATCATCATGTAAAAATGTGGATTTCTGCAGATTACATCATTTGAATTATATTTGGTAAAGTAAGTTTGACCAGTATTGGGTACTAGAAAACACTACCCTTCAGTTACATGTAGCCATGTGGCACAGTATACTTTTCAAATAAAAAATAAATACATTTTGGTCTTGCAAAGTATTTTTCTGTCTAAAAAATGTCTCTCGATCCTTTACTAGTAAAACAGCTGGATCCTTTTTCTCATACTACAATGTTTTCATGTCTCCTTTTTAGGCCAATCAACAGCATCATCTTCTATGAGTTCAGCAGATGGTAAGCAATATTTGTATTTAATTTGTATTTGTGACATCTTTACTATATGATCATATGCCATAATAGCATTCATTAGCAACATTCACATAAGCAGAACCCTGTACAGAAATGAGGGGCAATGAAGATGGTGATGAATTAATACAGCTTTGAAATTGGAATCAAATTGCTATAAAGTGGCCCAAAGCAGAGGCTTTGCAATCTATCCCTATATAATTGACTTCATTACACTATTCAGTGACATTAACCTTTAATGATTCATTATATGCATCTGTCTACATTTTTTAGAAGTATTGGTTTAGCTTAGTTTCCCTTGGATTCCCTGGTTTTAGTTTAATTCTGTTTTAGCACCTATGGGCTTATCTGCACTGCCCAGTTGTCCTGTTGCCAAAATAGGAAGGCAACTCTTTTTGGAAGACAAAAATGGACAATGTCACCCTCTATGGATCCCAGACTCATCATAAAAGGTGTGATTTTCTACCCTACCTTGAAATACACTTTTCTACCTCATGTCACCTCAAGCATTCCTATTCATTTAGAATAGCATAATTCAGTTTCTTGCAGACGCCATGGTGTGTAAGTGTGTACACAAATACACAGTCCCATATACTTATACACAAGAGTGTAGATATGTGTGTGTGCCCAGGAAGACTCACTCACGTGAGGGAATGCAGTTCACAATTGCTTTTCTGGGAGAGAATAATGGTAGGACACAACAGCAGAGAGATTGTCCAATGGAAGGATGTGATAGCTTATTGTTTGGAATGAATACCTTGCAAGCTGTTGTAAGAGTATCTCAATCTGGATAGGATTTTCTTAAGATGGTTTACAGTCAAGCTAGCGTGAACACAGGATAGGAACAACGTAAATGGTAAGTGCGGATATGCCCTATCTTTCTATCTTATACTTTTTATGGTTTTACTGTAAACTGCACTCAGAAATGTGGTTGCTGGATGATATGCTAATAGTATAAATGAACACTGTTCTTTCTCTCTCATTTATGTTTAACCAGCTTCTTTCCCTGGGGTAAACACTGAAAATTTTTCTTGGGTTAATTATGTTCTAGTTGCTTTTGCTACCTTTTGGGGTGATTTCCCTGACATTCTGATCAGTGAAGCTAGTCTTATTTTATTTAAAAATATAGTGGAACTTTCAGGAAGTTTTGCAAAAATAATGACAATATTATTGAAGAATTAGAATGGTTAAAAGTGCTAAAATGCACATTGTGGATACAATAAACTTTATCAGGAAGAAGAGTGTTGTATTCATCTAAAGTGTAATTATGTTTAAATGTTAAACTGTATTTAATATAAGCAGGATTGTTAAATTTAAGAATGGAAATGATATTAGAGTAACAAATGAGGAGTGTGTGAGCAGAGCTGTATTTTGCGATGTTTGGTTATAAAGCCCCCGAGAAGTGGTCTCAGGTCACTACTATGTTCTATACATTACTGGGTGAACCAGATCAGTTTGTGGGGAAAATTTTGGTCTGTGTACAATAAAGCTGATCTGTTGTTTTCTATTCCTTATCTGCCCTCCATAGGAAGAGCAACTCCTGACTTTTCACTGATACCTTCACGCACCACTCCATTCTCACCTGCAAGCACCTTTGAAGCAAAGCCTGGTTCTACAACCAACGAAACAGTGTCTCCTCCTGTTTCTCAGGCCGTTAATTCTACCTCCCTTAGCAAAGAGAGTGTTGCTTTTATTGCTACTCCTGCTTCCCTCACTATCTCAGGTTTGCTTTAGAGATTCAGGCATAAGAAACTAAGCTAAACTTAGAGATTCAGGTCATAATGCCTTGGAAATATTGTGTATCTGTCTATATTGCAAAGTTGAATTCCTTGGGGCTGGAAGCATCTTGTTGGAACTCTTAATTATATAGGGTTGTAGTGCAAGAAAGCAGGAAATAATGGTGACAACTCTAATCTTTATTTGGAGTGACCAGTCTTTATGTCACTGTCCCCCAACTTGGCACCTTTCAGATGTGTTAGACCCATGATTCCCCAAATTCCCACAGACTGTGGCTGGTACACATCCCAGCTGAGAGTGCTAGGAACTATTATCCCAAGCCATCTGGATGGCATCAGGCTGGCAAGGGTTGTTTATGTATGTAACTATATGATGAAGCAGGAAATGAGGCAGCAGCTCTTTCTGTAGTGCCTGAGAGGTAAATGCATGGAAAAATGCTGAAGATGATGTATCTTGTTATATCAGGACAAAAGCTGGTCCTTAAGTCTACTTTTTTTTTTTTTTTTGTATTATGCACCAGGAAAGCCTGAATCCCTAAGGATCCTTTTGTCTTTAGCTAGTTCTGTCTGTCAAGTTATATTCAGAACCATTCTTCTCCTTCTCCTTCTCCTTCTCCTTCTCCTTCTCCTTCTCCTTCTCCTTCTCCTTCTCCTTCTCCTTCTCCTTCTCCTTCTCCTTCTCCTTCTCCTTCTCCTGGAAAGTGGGGGTGGAAGTCAAACACTTGGTGGGACACCTGTTTCTCTGCTGTGCTGTGGCTGTGCACACAAATAACCATGGTTGGATACTCAGATGACTGGGCTAATATGCAACATTATAAAATATGCGCGTGTATATATTTCTCTTTCTCTGTTTGGGTAAGATAGACTTTTTCGCTCTCATGAGTAGTCCATAGAATTAACATTTCCAGACTTTAAGTATAGCACATGAATTAGTTCTATAATGTATTTGAGATGCTTCTGATCATTCAACTGCTCAAGTGTCCATTATTTAGCAGAAATAATGCCAGACTCTCTGTGTAAAAAATGATTTTATGGAAGCCACAGTCAAGACTGGATGGTCTTTTCCATCGGTGGAAAATCCTAGATGCTGTGGTAGTTGTGCTGTAGCAGTTGTGACAAAAAAAAAAAGAAAGAAAGAAAGAAAGAAAGAAAGAAAGAAAGAAAGAAAGAAAGAAAGAAAGAAAGAAAAAAGAATTGGCTGTTACACACATGCTCCTTTCATGTTAAGGTTCCAGTTCAAAACTCCAAATATAATTAAACCAGATTATTAAAGAAGGTTAGTCAGCCCTATCAATCTTCTGAAGCCTGAGACAGGAAGCTGTGAAACAAGGATAATGAAAAGGATAGCTTTCTTCAGGTTGGTATAAAATATAAGTTACTTCACCAGATATATAGGGATGAGAATTTCAAGAATTTTGGGAGCTGACACCTAGGCAAGTTTAGAAGGCATCTGGATTGGAGAAACTGGTAATAAACTCTAAACACCCTCTGTTCCCTTTATCTATTTATCTCACATGATTTAAGGCTCTAGAAAATTATACTTACCCTCTTCGTGTGGAGGGTGACATGGAAGGGGAATAGAGCCAAAGAATGAATTCTCACTCTGCCTGTTATGCCAAAGATGTAAAAGGTTGAAGAAAACATATATATGTATATCTGTGTGTGTATATCATATATCATAATCATATGTATCATCTGAAAAGCAAAGCTGTGTGAATCCAGTCATGACATTCATTTTCCATGTATTCAGCTCTTAGTTTTTCTTCAGAGATCACCAAGAACACTGCTCTTTCTTTCTTCTTCTTACTATTCTTCTTTGATCTTTAATGTTTGCCTTTCCATCATAGTAGTTGCAATACACTGATTGTAACTTTTTTTACTACAGCAAAAGATCTACCCAACGACTCATTCCTCAACACTCAGACAGTCTCAAGAGCTTCCAACCTTTTCACAAACAGCAGCGCTGCTGCCACCCCTTCACCGTTTCTCTTTGCCCGCACGCATGCACCAACAGGTTTGCTCACTTCTTTTCAGTGCCCAGACCATCAACAGTGTGTAACTGTTTGACATGCTATTTATGTTTTACAAGGGTAGAGTATTAGGAGAATGCAAATGTACACATTGCAGTTGTGGTCTATTAATGACTGCATAGTTATTGAAAGATGCATGTCTGCCTTTGGTTTCATCATATCAGGTCAATGGCCAACTCTTTTTTTCCTAAACCTTGGCCTTTGTTGAAGATAGATAGCTTTGATGGTTTCATTTTCCAGACTCAGGGAATTTTCATCAGGGCCTTTTTAGGGAGGGGAGGGGCACTGGGGATAATTGTCCTGGACTCTCACATGAAGGTGATTCCATGGATAGTATGATTCAGGTTTTTAAGTAATCAGATAAACTTATACATTTCATTAAAGGCCAGTACACCTGATTACTTAAAATATAGTCCCAAGAGTTATTTTAGTACTTTATCCTCTCCCTACACTCCTGTTTGTAGAGCCATTGACTTCGGTGGGAAAACATTAGCACTGGCACAGCTTGCAATGAGAAAAAAGCAAGGGGAGGGGCACTTCAGAATCTTAAAAAGGATCAGACTCTGATTCGTATTGTTCTGCCTGTTCCATGATGCCTTTATGAACAGGCTTTCCATTTGCTTTCCATACCAAGTCTTTTACTGAAAATTTGAACCCAGAATGCAGAAAAGCATGTGGATTAGCAGTTTTTTTCACTGACCCTGTGACTTTTATGTAATTCCGTACCAAGCCAGAAAAAGCTCCATATGCTGTACACAACCCAGATTAAAACACTGAGAAGCCTACATATACAGGTAGTCCTCAGTTAACAACCACAATAGGGGCCAGGAAATTTGTTGTTTAGTGAGGTGGTTATTAAGTGAGTTGCACCTGTTTTATGACCTTTTTTGCAGCGGTCATTAAGTGAATCACTGCAGGTGTTAAGTGAATCACACCGCGGTTAAACAAATCATGGGGTTCCTCATTGATTTTGCTTGCTGGAAGCTGGCTGGGAAGGTTGCAAATAGTGATCATGTGACCCCGAGATGTTGCAACCATCGTAAGTGCAAGGACCACGATCATGTGACTGCGGGGGTGCTGCGATGGTTGTGAGTGCAGGGACCAGTTGTAAGTCCCTTTGTTCAGCACCATTGTAACTTTGAACAGTCACTAAACAAATGGTTGTTAAGTGAGGACTACCTGTATGCCTTTGTATGATGTGCAAAAGTTCTTCTGTGTCCAAGCAGTGCATTTTAAATGAAAACATTTTGAAAATGTCAACCTCTGTTTGTTTTTTTAATAAGGTAGGGCATAAGTTGCAGGAGATCTCTATTTGGAAAAATGCTTTGCTGCATCTCCTTTTTTTCACAAAATTGCAAGAGAGCAATATTTCAACCAATTGTAGACATGGCAATTCTTAGCAAGTCCCTTTGACTTCACTGAAACTTACTCTCAGATAAATGCATATAGCAACCTTCCCCAACCTGAGCATTCTTCTGATGTGTGGACTTCAACTCCCATGATGCCTAGTTATTTTATCCTTTAACAATGCTGGCTGGGGGAATTATAGGAGCTGGTCCAGCATATCTGGAGAACATCACATTGGGTAGGGATGATGTATAAGACTGCTGTCCCATTAAATGGAGGTATCCTGCCAGACAAATTATTTTTTGTGCTATGACCATGGAAAGTAGGAGTCCTCAAACTATGGATTAGGATCCCCCCAGGGTTTCAAGCAACTTGGGTGTGTGTGTTAAAATTTACTTGATTGGGCTGAAGCAGGAAAAGTGAAAGTGCTACGAATACATGCTCTTGGGCTTCGTTCCTTCTTTTGTCTGCCAAGCCTAGAGTGAGCACTTACAGTACCACAAACCTTGTGCTATATAGATTAGTAGTAATATCTTTATTATGGT